TTTCATGGCTGACTTAGGTGAGTCTCTATTTCACCTTTTTAAAGTGTTTAGCAGTTGTGTATGTATGTGTATCTTCATTATATGTGTTAACATGGTTATGATAATGAACTATCATAACCTGGGGGCTTTCTTTAGTAAGTAGTGGGGGTGTCCAGCCAAGTGTGCCTAGAAATATTATATATATATATATATATACTGACATATTTTGTAGTGCCAATACTTGAGTTGCCCTACTCCAGAGATAAGTTGATCGTATATTGGCCACGGGGAATCCCTTAGACCAATACGAGCCAAACGACTCAACATAATTATCTCTGAGTGCTGCTGGTTCTGAAGGAGAAATCCTTACATTAGGCACGCGACAGGAGTGATATGTGACATGTATCGATATCAGTGCAGACCATAGCATAAGGGATTAGGTTAACTATCTTCCCAAACACAGATTTCTAACCCAAAGTTATTACTACTGTCAATTTAAAAAACTAGATTATGTCTCCTGCCCCAGAACACACACACACAAAAAGGGTCACGACCACATTAGAATTCAGAAGAAAAAATCCCTTTAAACAAAACTCCACAGGTCTTTACCTTCATTTTTAATTGTCAAAACACAAAACATATATGAAGGGAGTAATCAATAAATATGAACAGGGTGAAGCATTAAATGGAATACAATCCCAGAGGCCTAAAACGACAACATATATATCAGGTGGTTCATGCCATGACATCAATCACTGAGGCTCGTGGAAGTCTGACGTCAACATGGAACCCTCCCCCCAATGCTACTTTAAATTAAAGCATTAATTTCCTGACTTAAAAGTTTGCGCAGGGGGCAAAAAACAGCCAGTAGCATTAATTAGTAGGAAATGTGACATTTACAGGGAATTGGACCGAACTAAAAGTGTTGGTTCCATAGCTTCTTAGGGCGAAAAAGGTTCACTTCTGGACAAAGACGGTGGCAGGCAATAGAGAAATGAAAGGAATATGCTAGTGAGTTAATAACTATAGTATTACAGCTTCTATATAAAGGTAGAGGATTACAGCTCCTATATGGAACAACAGTACCACAGCCCCTAGAGAAATAAACATTACTGTACCACAGCTCCTTCATGAAGATACAGAACTACTGTACCACAGATCCTACATGAAGATACAGAACTACTGTACCACAGCTCCTACGTAAAGATACAGAACTAAAGCTCTGATTTGAAGATAAAGATAGAGAACTACAGCTCCTATTTAAAGATACAGAACTATAGCTCCTATATGAAGTCAAAGAATTATAGTATGACAGCTCCTATATGAAGATGCAGAACTACAGCTCCTACACGAAGAAACAGAACTACTGTACCACAGCTCCTACACAAAGATACAGAACTACTGTACCACAGCTCCTATACGAAGATACAGAATTACTGTACCACAGCTCCTATACGAAGATACAGAACTACTGTACCACAGCACCTATACAGAGACCGCTTAAGGTGATCTCGGGTGAGGCAAATTTCTGTTGTGAAGAATAATTTATTTATTCCTGACAATTTTTCTTGCTTTAATTGTTATCATAGGTGAGTTCTTATCAGGTCTGCACCGTATACAGATACAGAACTACAGTACCAAATATTCTACATAAAGCTACACAACTAAAGATTCTTCATGATTGTACAGAACTACAGTAAATCAGCTCTTATAGATATATGTGATCAACAACCAGTATATAAAATAAATCGTCAGAATAAATACTTGCATTCACCCACAGCTATGAAAAAAAACTGGAACAATTGAGCAGATGGAATATTTTACCAGAAATTTTCATAATAAACTGATGCTCTACAGGCCTTGGAACACGCCAAGCAATAAACTGCAAGTACTGGTTAGGAACAGACAATAGGCAAGCAAAAACAAAGGCATAGAGCCAAGCCAGAGATTCCAGGTTGCAAACAACTGCAGATTTAAAATCCCATTTAGATGATGGCAAAAGTAAGGAAAATATTACAAATAACCAATGCAGTATTCAAACATAATGAAACTTCTCAAATCTAAATAATTAGGAATTAAAATTTAAAATGATCATGCATTACAGATAATCTTCAGTAGTGTATGGTGCTGAAACACTGGCAATGAATAATGAACGGGATGACACAAATTAAGGACAAATAAACAAAAAGCTTTACAATGAACAGTTTTACAATGAAACCCTGAGAGGCAGAGAAATAAAGGCAGACCCAAACAATACACTGAGAATGTAATCAGAGAGTGGAGTACAGAGAGGGAGTATATGCTGTGAGCTGCATGTGATGGCAAAGGATAGGGAAACTTAGTGTGAGTTTGTGGAGGGACTATGCTACAATGGGAGATAAAGGGCTGAAGAAGAAGAAGAGAGACAATTCAAAACTAGTGGGAAGTATGTAATAGGAAAGCTATGCTAAATATGCACAGACAACATCAAGAAATTGACTGCCTGAATACATCACGGCTGTGTGTTTATTCTATATTTATTGGAATATACAAATTACTCATGAGGAAACTAGCTCACTGAATGTTTTCCTCCTAGATGCAATGAAATGTACTTGAAGCAAGAGTCACAGTGGGTCTAGTTAAGGCCCCTAACATGAAGGTGAACTGAACGTGAAACTCGTGTGAAGTCCCTGCTACACGAGTTAACCTTTGGCTAGGTCCAAAGCTGACCTCAGTTTGTTGGAATCTTTTTACAGTGAGGAACATTTGTGTTCCTAGCACTGACCAATATAATGGATAATTGCTTCCAGTGATCTGGCTTACAGCCATCTTGCCAGTAAATGGTGCAATGTTTTGCTGTCTCCAGTCAGTATCTAGTTACTGTTTAATTAGAAAATTAGATTTTTTTCTGACAGCAAGACCGAAGCAGGAATTACTTGGAAACTGTTCCATGTCTACCACAATGATGGCTAGGCTCTGGCTTGCTTGTCTGCACTAGACGCTGTGGTATGGATTCGTGGGTATTCTGACAGCAGCCCGCTTCTGCTTCCCAGAACTTGTGTGGCCCATGTGCGAGGAACTTCAATCTTACTTAAATTGCTAGACAAAGTGACCTGTGTAACTGCCGGTGCTGACATTACTCAGCCTCTAGGCTGACCTACTGAGATGCCTCATATGCTACTTACAGCAGAATTGATCCCTGCAGCTTGACAAGAATCATGATAAGACAGGACAGAGAATTCTGAAGACTATATACACCAAATGTAAAGATTTCACATAATGACTAGTAATCAATGTCAAATCTTGTTCATTTAAACTATGTACTTTTTCAAATGTACTATAGTGAGATTCTAACTATCCATTATGAAGTTATAATTCTGATTCTTGTTAGAAGGAAACTATTGCAAAATGTATTTGTTAGGATAATATAATTCAGATTTCTTTTAAAAAATCTGCTTTCAGAAACAATTCTGGCAAGAAATAAAGGGATAGACAAAAGAAAACTTGGGCCGATAACAGTAAAGATCAATCATAACATTGTGGAACAGATGAAGACTGGGACAACCATAAACACAAATTCACCATGGTACCAATAAAACCCCAAAAAATAGTAAAGAGATTAAAACAAATTTGAAAAAAAAAAGGGGGGGGGGGGGGCAGACCAGAGCCCAGTGCAGCAGTCCAAAGAAGAATAAGAAATGAACACAGAACTGGTGTCAGCCGCTACATACTGCGAGATTTACTGAGGATAATCTGTCAAGTAACCAACTAAGAAGATATAAGATAAGGTATGTATATAAGCATGTATGTATGTATGTGTATGTATGTATGTATGTATGTATGAGTAGTTAAACAGAAAGTAAACCAACCTAACATCATAAATGTTTAGTATTAAAGAAATTACCTATGATATAGGAAAAATTAATGTTTTTAAAAAATAAACAAGTATTTTTTTTAAATCCTAAAATATTCAGTTTAGCTGTGTTTGTTAACCCTACCAGACCTGAGGCAGTGAACCTAACTGCCCCCTATATGTGAGCTCCTGGGCATTAACTCGAAAAAACCAACATGATATCCAAAAAATATTAATTATATGCAAACAAGTGGTTAGAATAAGATTAAACTTATGTAGAAAATGGATTTACCTATCATCAAGCGCCAACTTTTCACCTTTGTGTACCAAACCACCCAGCAGGATGGGCCTTGTTTCATAAAGTGAGCACCAGATGTCGCTGGTTAAGGGACAAGCCCCCTTCTCTTACTATCGATCTAGTTCTGGACCTATAAGGTTTAAGATTCTCCTCATCGCTCAAACTTTCACCGTCTGTATCACTTGAACAGGGAATGCATTCTTGATGAAATTTTGACTCCTCAAAAACTGAATCAACCAAAATATCAGTCAGCTTTGGGCTGTGAAAAGCCTTGACTACTTCACTTTCCTGTCAAAGCGCTTGGTTCATCAGCTGCTCGTTTTGTTGTGAATTTTCAGAATTTGTTTCATGTTAAACCACAAAGTAAATCCAAACATGTGGGGGAAGCTATTTGTAATGACTCTAACCACAAGGTCTTACCATGGTTGGTTATTTTGAAGTGCGTGACACATCTTTTTCATACAAATTTCCGATAGTGAGGTAAAGCAGTATAGCACCGAATTAGAAAATTCCCGAAAAATTGGAACAGCAGCCTGGTAGGGTTAAAGCTACCAATACCAAAATAAGCTTTCTAATGGCATCACTTACGTTTTATCAATAAAATGTTATAGATAGCTTTTAAATTATATATATCTATTAATTATCTGTTCTGAGACTTCCAGTTAGGCAAAACAAAGTGCCATATGTTCAATTTACAAGAGCTTTCAGTAAACACAAATTATTATTCCTCTGGTCAGAAGAACAAAGCAATGCCTGATACCTATAATATTTATGACTTATGTAAAGCTAACAGATAATTCTAGAAAGAATATCAACAAACACAAATCAATATCAAGGCAACAGAAAATCAGTGAGAGCAACAACAGGATCACAACTACAGAACATGCTTACTTTAGATAATTTGGGATCAGTTGAGCTGTCTTCACAAACCGGTGGTGCCAGGTGGGGGTTCAGTGTAATGATGGCATCCATTTCAATCTAAAGACAAATGACAAACAGAAAGATGTAATTCTGTCCTTATACATATAAATAAGGTGTATGTTTGTGTATCAAAATAGCTCTACAGGTATTTATCCTTTAGAAGATTTTCCTCTTCGTGTGGGTTCCAGACATTATTGTGAGGGGAAAAAAACCCACTGCCTCCCTATTAATTAAGCAGGTCATGAGAGTCAACAAATTAGTGGTATCTTTTAAAGTCATGAGTGCATCTGCCTAAGAGGCAAGGAACCAACAGTCTGCATACAAAAAGCCAGATTGGTAAAACATTTGCCAAGTTCTGGAACAAGACTCAGGTTCAGAAGCGGACAAATGTGCTGCCCGAGTTTACAGCTGGTGAGGGCCAAGAAGAATAGAGCAAACTGTGAACTAAGCCCAGCATGTTTGTGGTTTTACTAGGCAAAATCTTTACACTCTGTAGTTTGTCACTGCTTTCTCAATAAAAAGGAAAGTAAAGGACCCCTTTCCACGCCTTTAGGCGTATAGGGCATATAGGGCTAGACCTATATTTTTATAGACCAATCGGCACAAGATGGGGGATGTGGTCAGCATCACGCCGGCCGCCTTTACTTTCCCGGGACTGCACCCGGTACCCACTCGAGGCTGGGTCGACCTGGGAGCCAAGGGCTTTCTCAATACTGTTGCCAAATCCTCCACACCTGGAATGGAACAATGTGATCTTAGAATTACAAACCCTGTTCGCTAAGATGCACTTTATAATGAAACCTATTTCACAAAAAGCAACATTTGAAGTTAATGTTAAAGCTATTGCACCAGCTTATCCCATATCGCTTGGTCTCTGTCCATAGAACAACTAGTCACCTGACGACAGTGCATCACACAAAGCATAAACTCTGTAGCTACAGCGACAATCCAGAGACCTCCACAAAAACTGAACCCGTGAACTGATCGGCATGTCATTAGTGTTTGGCTTTATAAAGTTCAACATGCATACCACAAACTAAGAAAAAAGTTTTCAAGTGGCAGAATGCTGCTTGACAGTGAAGTATGCTAATTTCATATATTCCATGCTTATGTATACTGAGATGATCTGACAGTTTCCTTTCTTAACACTTTTTCTCTTAGATAAATTCTTCTAATTTACCACATAATTTACTACTTTTGAGTGCAATGGGTATATGATGATAGCCCTACAATTGTACAGACAAGGTGGCACTCAAATGGGTGATGTCAATATCATACTGCCTGACTTTACTTAACAAAAGATGTCCTGTGCCCATTTTAAGGAGGGGTTGACCTCAGATCCTCGAATCAATGTTCTTCTTTGTGTTCACCGGCTGTAAACCGGTTATCCTTGTAATAAGTTCATAATCAGGAGACCGGCCAGCATAGATAGGATCAAGGTTTCCTTCTAAATCAGAGTGCATCAATCTCTGAGGCAAAGAACCAGTTGTCTGTACACAAATATACCAGATTTGTAAAAGTGACATGCAGGCAAACCTCAGGTTCTAGAACAAGACTAACTTCCAGACATGGATAAACAGCCACAACTTTCTGCCGGAGTTTACAGCAGGTGAACATGAGAAGAGAAGAAAAACACCACTAATACGTCAAGATTCATCTGATCAAATAAAACTCCCATTTACAGACACACACAAATGCATACCTCTTTCCCTTTAGTCTCGCCTTTTTCATACCACTCCACAGTGACACTTCTCGAATCCTTGTTAATGCCACTGATGACAGCTGAATGGATACGGCCTTAAAAAAAAAAAATAAGAACTGAATTTTGTACAGGTCAATACTGCATGATACATTATGGATAGGAAATAAACTGGGCAACAGAGGACAGAGAAATTAGAAGAAAAGACGATAGCACATTACATATCTCTGTGATTCCTTGCCCAATTTGGGGAGAAAATAACACATATCATTAGCAGGTCATCTGCAGAACGTTGCTCTAATCAGTCTGCTTCAAAGAAACCTGGTCTTCTGTCAGCTCTCCAGCATCAAGCACTTTCATATCGAAGGAGTCACTTATATCATGTGGCTATCTTTGTGTTGGTTAGCCCCTGCCCCTCCTTCCTGGTACAATGCCTTCTGCTTTATTTTTTCAATCCATTATGGTGCTCGATATGGCTTGAATATTTCAGCTTTTGAGACAGAATGCTGTTGATTAGCAAAACTTTCTTGATGTTCAAATCTTTTAGAATGTCAGTATTTCTTTATTCTTCTTCTTTTATTCGCTTGAAATAGATTATCTATATTTGCAATGTTGTCTCTAGTATGAACTTCATTGTCTTTTGTAATTCACTCAGCGACCCGTAAAGTTTGACTTGCACCGATGTTTCTCTTGGCCAAATATTTGGCCTCTATATGTTGTATTTGAAACAGTCTTGGAGGACATGACCTGTTGTCTCAGGTGCCAATCCACATGTGCACATGGCTGATTCGCTGATTTTAAATTTTGTGTACATGTGGCTGCGAAGTCGACCAATTTCAGCTATTTATTTTCATTCATAAGTCCAGATCAGCAGATCCCTAAGATAAATATTGATGAGAGAAACCAAAGGTGCTGGACTGAATTCCATCCATGACATCAAAGTGATTGTGAAGGATAGAACACAAAGATGAAACAGACTGCGAGCCCTATGTGATGTATAATGACACAACAGGACAATGAATGAATTAAAGAAGATTCTTCAGTATTTGGTGAGGAGTGCCTAGATCTAATAATTATCACTGGCAGAGGCATTAGTTTCATGGCAACATAATTGTGGTCAGATCTTTCTTGAGCCTAGTTAAATAGGTTGACTTTGTTGCAATAACATTTATAAACTGTTTGGCTTTATATTTTTTTGTAAACTTTTTTTTAATTGAAGTTTTACACACATGATTAACTCATCAAAAAATACTTTTCTAAGTAAGTTTTGGTTTAGAAGTGACCATAACCCTCAAGGTGTTTCTGTGATTCATTTTGCCTGCTTCTTCATATTCACTGACTAAACTTTGGTGGAAAGTTATGGTTGTTCGTCCACCTCTGTACTTGCTTCTTTTTCTAGAACCTGGGTGTTGTGTGCACATCTATTTTACAGATAAGATTTATCTGTATGCAAACTGTTTGTTCCTTGCTCCAGGCAAATGCACTCCGACTTCGAAGAAAGCGTCCCAATTAGACGACTCTAACAAATACAACATGCATTTCGGAGGGGGGGGGGGGGGGGTCTATTCTTGTTCCCCCACAACTAGGCCCCAGAACCCACACAGAGTTTTGCCTGATAATTTCAACACTTGTTTGTTATTTACTAAAAGAAAAAAGGGAGGGGGGAGGTGGGGGAGAGAAAAAGTAAGACAAACTAAATAGAAAATTAAAGGTGGTACTGCTGGATTCATTATTCATTCTGTCAGCTTTTTAAAACTGCTTTGTTTTATGTAGAGGACTATTAAATGGAGAGCTCAGAGAATGTTTAGTTTAATGAGTCATTGATTTCGAAACTCACTAACACTGAACACTGCCAGTAATTTTGTTTCGTCTTAGTGATTCACTTTCAAATTAAACGTAGCAAGTATTAATGTACAGACTTGCAACACAGTGGTCATCAACAGTGATTGATGAAATCAAAATAACAGATTTGTTGATCATATACTCTGGTTTTAACCATCAGTGCATCACTGTTCATCACATCATCATGTCACATGCATCAAAATCGATGTTTTCTTTTTCTTCTTGACTTCAGATGGGTGGTTACCATGTAGTTAATTAGTCATCTATGATTAACCGCAGAAGAATCTTTCATTTTCAATTACAAAAAAATTATTTTTAAAAATGAAAAATAAAAACCCAACTTGTCCTCTCAACTCACAACGGGGTGTCACTCTTCTTCTGTCGTCAACATTCCATTCTCACCACTGCAGCAGAGACCTCACCTCACCTCTCTCCATTTCAAAATTCCACACAACAAACAAACTCGCAATTCTCATTTCTTACCATCAGTTCTCTGGATATCAACATTGACGCCTATTTTCATGACGATCGGCTGGCTCATGATGCCGCTTTCCGGCGTCGATCGGAAAAGAATTCGATAATTCTCGGGGATAAATCGAACAGAAGCAAGAAGGTGTGTGGATTCCCTTGTGCTAGGGGATAAACATGACGCCTGGAACAAACCTTCCGTTACTGCGGTCTTTTCAAACAGCACAGCGCATGCGCAATGGCATCTTCGAAATTCGAACTCGTCTCAAAATAGAGAATTACGATTTCGAGAACGAAATTCGAAGTCGTTCCTAATTAGAGAATTCAACTTTAGTAGGGTTGCCGTATGTGCTCATTTTTGCGGACACGTCCTCCTTTCACGGTTAAATCTAAGCTTCCGTCAACAGTTTTGGACATTTGTTGATTTGTAAGCAGTTTTACCAGTTTTTAAATATTCCAACACACAATGCTTCGGTAGAAAGACTATTTTCTTTAATCGGTGCCAAATGTACCAATGAGAGAAAGGCGCCATATGTCTATGCAGTCTAGTGAATGTCACTTGTAAACATTTAATTTAAAACAGTTCACGTGCAGACAATTTTATGGACATTAAATGCAAAAGGAGATTCGAAAAAAAAAAAAGTCCAGATCATTAGAAGTGATGCGTTCTCGTTGCAGAAGATTAAACTATGGAAGCGTCCTTATTTCGGAAAATCAAAATGTGGCAAGCCTAACTTTATAGATCGAATTTCTTATTCGTCTTAAAATAGAGAGTTGACTGACTGACTTTCTACCACACAAGCGATAAAAACTAGATGACACAAAGTGCCACCATGTGGATGAGAATCGCCGTGGAGAGGTCACAGAAACCGCGTTCAGACAATTGGCCATATTTATGGCCTGCCTATATTGCGGCCCCTGGCAAAAGACAGGGTGGGGCTTCTAATAAAAAAAAATTTCGTCACACCTTAGCGTGTGTAGATTTTACTTATTAATAAAATAGAAAATTAAATTTCTGGTTGTTCATCTACTTTTGGACTTAAGTCTT